CCCGCTGTGGCCTGGCTGCGGCCCGGTGCCCACCCGCCCGAGGTCGGAGCGTCCATGTGTGAGCGAGAAACAGGAAGGAGGGCGCCGGCCCGGCCCGCCGGGGTCCCACTCCGTTACGGGTGCGTGAGCGCCCGGAGAAGCTGGTTTTCTTGGCCAGGGGTAGCTATTTTCCAGCACTGCCAGAGGCTGTCTGGCTGGTGGGTGGATTAACTACAGGTGTGGACCGGGATCCGTGGCCTGCGCTTGGGGGTTTTTAATCTCCCGGGCCAAGTTCCTTGTTTGTCATCGAAGCCTGGTCTGTGTCCCCTGAGTTGGGCCGTGGGGTAAGGAAGGGGTTCTGGGGACCCTGAGGGAGGAGGGCGCCCTCTCGGGCGAGGCCTGTCAGGTGGCCAGCCGCGTCGGAGCAGGTCCCCGGGGGTCCCTCCTGTGCGGAGTGAGTGCCCGACTGCACTTGTGATGCCGCCCTTACGTGGCAGGACTTGCCCCCGAGTCCCGACCTGACCCCACAGCGATCTGCACGGATGCTCCCCGAGCAGAGAAAGATCCTTGTCGCCCTGGCACCCCGCACCTCACCCTCCACGGGGCCTCCGACCAGTGCAACAAGCTGGCTGTGCGCCCAGGGGTCAGCACCCCGTTAACTCTGCACCTCTGACCTCTCCCTGGCCAGAGGCTGTGGCTCAGCCAGCGTTAGGCTGTGTGGGAGCCTTTGGTGGCCTTTGAGGACGAGCAGTAGGCCTGGCGAGGCCTGAGCACCAGTTTCTTGCTCCTGCCCCCATCTTCCCCAGAATCTGACCCAAATCCTGGGGCTTGTGCTGCAGCCCGGGGCAGTGACACCTCTTCTCAGGTTTCCCGAAGAGACACTTTTCGATGAGGGAGGTGGTCTAGGGGCCCTGCTTTCTCCCTTTTATCGTTTCCCAAGCTTCAGTGGAAGTCGGGAAGCTGGGAGCCTCTCTTTCACTGCCCTTTTGGCCCCTTTTCATTTTCCTCAGTTGTTCTCCGGACTCCAAGCTGGGAGGGCTCTTTCCACAGGGGCCTGTGAGTGTGCTTTCTGCCCAGGCTGACTTCTCCCCTCCTTGTCCCTGAGTCTGTAAGTTCCTGGTGGGTGCCTGCCTCATGTTACCCACCCAGGAGGGTCTTGGGGAGGGTCAGTCAGAGCTAGGCCAGAGATTAAGGCTGGACAGGTCCTGTTCAAATTCCTGGTAATCCAGTGCTCATGAAATCCCTGCTCTTCTGCTCCCTCTCCAGCCTTGCCTTACAAAGGGGTGCTGTGACTCTCAGGCAGGTGTGCGTGCCATCTCTTCGCATGTGTATGGGAGTGTAAAGTCGGTGTTGTCTTTTGGGAGATGGACTCACTGTAGTGACCTTTGACCTTGCAGTGATCCTCCTGCCTCAGCCTCCCAAGTGCTGGGATTATAGGTGTGTTCCACCAGGCCTGGTATGGAAGCATAGTTTCTGAGTGGAAAAGTGTAGATGTGATTTTTCTCTGCGAGGAAATCAAGTATCTACCCTGCAGACGGGCAGGAAAGCTGGCTTCCTACTTGTGTGCGCATCACCTTCTCTCCTCCCTGCCTCCGCCTTATGGGCTCCTCTGTTTGGCTTGGTGTGTTGGTGCCAGGACACTGCCAGGGCTACCGTGAGTTCCGGGGGACATGTAAGGTAAGGCGGCTGGAGTCCAGTTGGTACCCTTTTCCCCCTGTTGGAAGTCCTGGCTTGGCCAGTCTGGTGCCTCTGCTAACAGAGTCCAGGACAGAGAAGAGGGCAGTGGTCCCAGCGAGGCCGAAACCCAGGTCTGTGTCTGCACCTTACACACCGTGCTCTCTCACATGTTTGTCTTCACCCTGACTGCTTGAAGTGGGAGGGATAGAAGGTGCACTGTCCAGATGCTTGTCCTTAATTGTCCCTGACACCTGTTCTGCCTGCCTCCCTAACCCCACACTTCATTTGTAAGCATAAGATGGGGACAAGACATTCCTGGCTCCACCCCTCCAGAGCCCTAGTCATCTCTCTGAATCCTTTACCCCACCAAATGCCTCTTGACAAGAGAAGCGTCTCTGCCAGTTTCCTCCGCCCAGAATGGGGTGGAGTCCAGAGTCCACACCTTCCTGTACCCTTGGCATTAGACCTCACTGGCCCCAAAGGACAGCAGTGGGATGGCTGGGTCAGGTACAGCCCCCACTTCCAATCAGGGCAAGCAAAAAGAAAAGGGGTGGGAAAGGAGTGGGAGGTGCGCAGAGACATCTAGGGTTCTACCCTCATCCCTTCTCTATTAGACTTTATTCTTCTCTGGGAAAAGTGTGTGTGTGTGGAAAGTTCCACTATGTGCAATTATATTTGATTTTGTTCAGTTCAAAATACTTCCATCTCTTTAACTAATTAAATATTTATTCTGGCTAAGGGGGATCGGGAAGGGGCAGTGCCCTCCTGTGCTTGAGGTCTGGAATGTGTGTGTGTGTGTGTGTGTGTGTGTGTGTGTGTGTGTGAGTGATTTGGGGCAGGAGAGGGGGAAGCTGGAACCAAATCTCCTTTATTGTCACCGCTGACCTCTGATTTCATCCAAGAGAGCAGCGACCAGGAGTGGGGACAAGAGGGTAAAGTCCTTGCGCTTGGAATACTGACAGGCTGGAGGGATTTCGCAAGTGGTTCTGTGGTGGCTGGGGGTGGAGCCACCCAGCTCAGCTGTGGGCCGAGGGTTCAACCCTCCTCACAGTGGACAGCAATCTCCCCTTTCCTCGCGGGCTGGGAGGGGGCCGCCTCCCTTCTGTCACAAGCCCAGTCTGAACCCGTCACTGTTCTGGGAGGAGCTTGAGGGGCAAAGACTACCCAGGCTGTCGCTGCCAAGCCCTGGTGCTGCCAGGCATGGACCCAGCCTCACAGCTGTACAGGGCCATCCTGCTGCTTTTCTCAACTCCACACACCTGCTGTCCCCCGCAGGCCACACACCGTCGCCTCTCATTTGGGTGTCCGCATGGTCACTGCCACTGCTTCTGTTTCACTGGGGCAGGGCAGGAAAGTGTCCAGCAGCAGGGCTGAGGAGTGTTTGCCATGTGGACTAGTGTTACCTTGCAGACTTGTGCGTGGTTTCTATTCTGGATGAGCCTGAGGATGTAGTTCAGTGGTAGAAGAGTGCTTGTGTAGCATGTGTGAAGGCCTGGTTCATCCCCCAGTGCGCACACGCACACGCACACGCACATGCACGCACACACAGCTGTTATGTGTCTTAGTCTGCTGCCTGGATTCCCTGTCCTCGCTCCCTGACTCTAGGCCTTCACTTTTGTTTTGAACGTAGGATCTGTCTGCCTTACTGGCAGGGACAGATGGCCTGGCCTGTGGCTGTCCACTTTATGCAGTTGTTTGATGCTCACTGACCACCTGGAGCTCAGCATACTTTGAGGACGTACTTTGCTTTCCTGGCCTAGGAATCTGCCACCCAGAAGGGTTGCAGGGGAGAGGGGAAGCTCTGGGCCAACCCTGTGATGTATGGGGCTCTCCTTCTGCCCTGCCCCTGCCACGGAGGCTTCCAGCTGAGGGTGGACCTGACAGTAGGTGAAAGGAGGGCGGTGCTGGCTTTACTCAGATTGGCTACAGCTTCCCAGGCCAGGTCCTGCCTGTCCTCCAGGTTGGGATAGAAAAGCCACGGGAAGAACCCAAGGGGGAATCAGGACTTCTGGGTGTCAGCATCATCAAGAGGTTGTCACAAGCATTAAATGTTAAAACTGGAAGCCACCTTCCTACGGATGAAGAAGCGGATTTCCCGAGGCCGCGTCGCTGGGACCGGACTCCAGCGCTGTCGCTTGCCGCCTCCACTCCTTGGTACACAGGGCAGGGTTCATCCCTCTTCCCTCACAGCAGCCTTGCTGACAACTCCCCCTTCCCCTGCTCATTAGGATGCTGCAGACCCTGTATGATTACTTCTGGTGGGAACGGCTGTGGCTGCCTGTGAACCTGACCTGGGCTGATCTCGAAGACCGGGATGGACGAGTCTACGCCAAAGCCTCCGACCTCTACGTCACGCTGCCCCTGGCCCTGTTCTTCCTCATTGTCCGATACTTCTTTGAGCTGTGAGCACAGGAGCCCACCTTCACACCTGCCCAAGCTGCCAGTCTCGCAGCCCCGTGGGCCTCAAGATTGTCTCTTGCTGTGTAGTTAGCTCTGGACCCTGGTGTTCCAGCTTCTCGGTCCCTGCCCGCTGTGTCACCCACCCCAGGGCAGTGTTGTCTTTCTGAGGGCTCAGCATGCCCAGGCCCTTTCTTTCAATCGCTGCTTGTTCTCACCCTCTGCCCACCGCCCCGCCTGGCCACTGGGAAACACAGGCAGCCTTGTCAGCTCTGGGCAGCTCCAGAGGCTCAGGGAAGGGAGTTGCCAGGAAACTGGGGAAACTGAGGCCAGAGTACAGCTGCCCAAGCTTGCAGCCTCCTACTCCCTCCCAGCTTAGGGGCTAGGAGTGCTGCGAGAGAGCCAGACACCGCTCCCTCCTGTTCTTCCCCAGTTACGTGGCTACACCACTGGCTGCCCTCCTGAATGTAAAGGAGAAAGCTCGGCTGCGAGCGCCTCCCAATGCCACCTTAGAACATTTCTACCTGACCAGCGGCAAGCAGCCCAAGCAGGTATTGCCGTGCGTGATGCTCTGGCCCTGGGAGCCACTCGGTTCTGAGGGGAAGGGAAAGGGGGCCCTGCTGGGCCAGGGGCTGAAATTCGGTTCCCACTATACCCAGGTGGAGATTGAGCTTTTGGCTCAGCAGAGCGGGATCTCTGGCCGCCAGGTAGAGCGCTGGTTCCGCCGCCGCCGCAACCAAGACCGGCCAAGCCTCCTCAAGAAGTTTCGAGAAGCCAGGTGGGGGAAGTGGTGCAGTGGAAAGTCTAGGGGGACTTGCTGGGAGGGGGACTGTGGCCGTGTAAGAGGTGAGGAGGGGCTCAGTCCCTCCAGAGCATGTGGGGACTGCTGGGGGCCGTGCTGCCCTCCCACCTAACCCTGTGCTGCTTCTTCCAGCTGGAGATTCACATTTTACCTGGTTGCTTTTGTTGCTGGCATGGCCGTCATTGTGGATGTGAGTGGGATTCTGGGAAGTGGGAGAGAGACCAGAGTGGGTCTTCCCTCTTTTAAGCTTTCTTCATCTCAATGCAGAAACCCTGGTTCTATGACCTGAAGAAAGTCTGGGAGGGATATCCCATACAGGTATGACATGGGGCCTGCTGTGGGGTGGCTGCAGCCCGCAGCCTTGCGAAGAGGGCACACGGTGGACACACGGTAGAGGAATTAATCAAGGAACAGGGCGCTCAGGGCTGGGGAGCTGGGCTTGGAGCAGGAGCCCCTGGGGCTCTTGCTCTGCGTCTCTTATCTCCCTCTCCTCTCCCAGAGCACCATCCCTTCCCAGTACTGGTACTACACGATCGAACTTTCCTTCTACATGTCTCTGCTCTTCAGCATCGCCTCTGATGTCAAGCGAAAGGTAGGTGAAGGGCTGCACAGTCAGGCCCAAGAGGAGGTGGATGTGGTGTACATGGCATTGAGAAGGCCGAGGCAGGAGCATCGTGAGGCAGCCTGGGCCACCAACGAAACTCAGAGCTGGCCTGGACTGCGCAGTGAGACCTTGTCCAGGGCAGGGGAGCCCAGTGAGGTCCTGGGGTGTACTAGCTTCTCTGAGTCTTGCAGCTTTGGCCAGATGTGTTGGGATATGGGGTGTGTGTGCTGGAAACGGGGTGCTGAGCAGCGGGCAGAGTTCCCTGGAGCCTGCGTCTTTGCAGGACTTCAAGGAACAGATCATCCACCACGTGGCCACCATCATCCTCATCAGCTTCTCCTGGTTTGCTAACTACATCCGTGCAGGGACTCTCATCATGGCTCTGCACGACTCCTCAGACTACTTGCTGGAGGTTAGGCTCCTTCAGACTAGAGGCCGCAGTGCAGGTCCTCGTGTCCGTGTACCCTTTCTTGGGGGCGAGGGAGACAGGGACAATCCTGGGGCCCCAGTGTGGGGTGTGGGGGGGGTACCTGGGAGTCGGGGGCCCAGGATGATGGATGGGGCTGTTTATAGTCAGCCAAGATGTTCAACTACGCGGGCTGGAAAAACACCTGCAACAACATCTTCATCGTCTTTGCCGTTGTTTTCATCATCACTCGACTGGTCATCTTGCCCTTCTGGTGAGTATGTGGTCAGCTGTCCTTGTTCTCAAGAACTCAGGCATCGCCTTTCCCCGCTCAGTGTCGACAACCATCTCCCCCGACCCCCAGGATCCTGCACTGCACCCTGGTGTACCCACTGGAGATCTACCCAGCCTTCTTCGGCTACTACTTCTTCAATGCCATGATGGGAGTGCTTCAGGCACTGCACATCTTCTGGGCTTACCTCATTTTGCGCATGGCCCACAAGTTCATAACTGGAAAGGTGAGAGCTCGGCCCCCATTCTACTCCTGCTAACTCTAGACCTCCCTAAATTCCTTGTCATTGCAGTGACCCGGCAGGGCCCTGGGTGTGGGAACGAGCTCCCAGAGGGGGGCTATCTGCGGAGTGTGAGGCCATCACAGAACCCTTCTTATCCCGTCCCCAGGTGGTAGAAGATGAACGAAGTGACCGGGAGGAAACAGAGAGCTCTGAGGGGGAAGAGGCTATAGCTGGGGGAGGAGCAAAGAGCCGGCCCCTCGCCAACGGCCACCTGGTCCTCAATAACCACCACCGTAAGAATGACTGAGCGCTGCCCGGCTGCCTCCCAGACGAATGCGTAAAGCCAAGGAATGAGCCACCCTTACCCAGAGGGTCACTTAAGCCCCGGGGAAAAAGGAGAAGGGCAGAAGAGACTTCTGCATTCCCTTTCTTCTTTGTCATCCAGCTGCCTTTAAACCAAGTTCTAACCAGCCTGTCCCTGGGTGAAGAGGAGGTTGGTTATATCCTCTGCTAGAGGGAGGACGGTCTTACTTTCCTCTCTGTCCTCCCCATAATCCTTTCTATTGCTTTTAAGCCCCTTCCTCAGCTGTGGGGTAGAGTCACAACTCATTCCTGACTCTTGAGGATTCCGCCCTGTTTGCCTTTCGACTCCTTGGCCTTCAGAAGCGCCGGGGTTGTGCCTTAGTCTGATCTGTGGGCCTAATTCTGCCAAAGCTGGACCAAGGATCACCTTTCTAAGCTAACTTGGGCCAGAAACCAAAGCTGAGTCACTCTGAACTCTTTCCCTCCAGAGACACAAGTGAACTGAGTGTGGGAAGGTGCACATGACCCTTATCCTACCTCTGCCAAAAACTGGGGACTGAGTGGGGCCGGCTCAGTGGCCTTTGTGTTATATCCCTGCCAGCCGTCCCTGTGCCCCGCGTCCAAGATCTTACTGCTTCCCTTCTTCAGCTGGTCTAGCTGGTTTGGGTTAGAATGGCAACTAGTTGTAATTTTTATTTATTAAACATTCGGGGTTTCAATTTTAAAGCCAGAATTACATCTGGCACCTGGCATTTCAGCAGAGGGACCATTTCTGACAAAAATGTACTGTTAAAAGTTTTTTTTTAATGAAAATATATTAAAGATTAAATAAAACATGTCAACAGGTATCAGACTATTAGGAACTGAGAAAGGGGATCAACTAAATAAACTAAGATAGTCTTTCTTATGCCTTCCTCGCAGTTATGTAACATTTTCTTTTTAAGATTCACATGGCAAGAAAAAAACAAGTAGAGAAGGTACAAGATTTATGACAGCTGCCTATTTGGGAGGATGCGGGGGAGAACAACTCTCTCACTGAACGTATGGAGAACAGGAGTGTGGGGACTGAGGAGAAATCAGATAGCAATCTTAGTTATACTGTGTTAAAATTCTTGCATGAAATAATACAAACCAGAGATAGTAGATACCTAGCCCCGATCCGAGAGTAAAGTCTCCTAGCAGGGTGAACAGTGGAACAGACGCGGCACGGGAGGACGTCAGGCCTGGCTGAGGGTGGTCGTCTCGCCCCGCCCCAGTGCCATAGGAAGTCAGGAAGGGACTCTGCCAGCTAGCACCACATGGAAGAGATCTCTGGATCCAGAACCCCCACTTTTGTGTACTAGGAGCGGGGGGGAGGGGGAAGCTGGACCAGAGACTTGGGGCAGAGTTCAGCAGTCGGGAAGACCCAGTTCCTGAGGACAGGAGAGTTGTCGGAGGGTTCTGGGGTGAGGAAAGGCTGCTCTAGAGCAGACGGCCTCTGCACTCGATGGCCCCACAGCAGCACAGCAGCTCCTTGCCCTCCACGCTGCCCACCTCGTAGTTGTAGTCCCAAGTAAGCTCAGTCCCAGCCCGGATCCTCCTAAAGAGGAGAAAAGGACGTGGTGTGAAGGCAGCCGACACCACAGGTGGCGGGGTCACAGCGCACAGGTGAATTCAGAACTTCAGTGGCCCCTCCCTGCAGCCCCAGTAGTCCCCTCTCCCGAGTCCCTCTTACTTGCTGGCAAAGAAGGCTACCCAAGGGAAGCGAAGATCATGGGTGTCCACGAAGACATTCTGGACAAACAGGTTGGGGCTGCAGCTGTGCTGTAAATTTAAGGACAATGAATCAGAACCAGGTATACAGAATTTGGCATCATGGAGCCAGAACTGGAAGAAAATCATGGCATCTGACCCTCGCCATATTAAGATGTTTTGGAAGAAAGCTACTCAAGACCTATTTTCTGTTTATTCATTTTGTTTTATTTTTTGAGACGGGGTTTTGCTCTATAGTTCATGCTGGCCTTGAACTCACTGGCCCAAGATGGCCCTGAACTTGTGGTGATCCTCCTGCCTCAGCCTCCCAAGTGCTGGGATTACAGGCGTGTGCCACTACTGCCTGGCTTTCAAGATCTTTTGAAATCAATTTGTAAGAAGGAAAAAGTTTCTATAGGGCATTAGAAGAAATGGGTTAATCCAACATCTAGGGGAGGGGAAGAGAGTCTCACATTGAGGTAGCGGCCCAGGTTGCCTTCCAGCTTGGCATCGATGATGTAGCAGGACTCCTCACCATCGTAGAACTGGCGCGTGTTCTTACGGACAGGCGCACTCTCCCCCTTGTCCACAGAGGCCATGTTGGTTGATTTAATGGCAATGCCATGGGTTGATTTAAGAGCAAAGCCTCGGGTTGATTTCACTGCCACTTGGCGCTTCATTGGACCTGGACAGGAAAGGATCCAATGGGGTCAGATACTGTTCCACCATTCTCACCCCGCACACTGCAGACTGAGAATGCCACCAAGTCAAGTCTCAGGCAAAGACCCTAAGGGGCAGTTTTTCCAAGCAGGATCAGAGGGCCGGGCAAAGGGTAAGGAACGGAAAGAAGAGACCGGGACAGGTCAAACAAGATTAAAAGTCAGCAGTTTAGCTCAGGGCCTCCCAGAAACGCTCCCACTCTTAGAATCTGGAACCCTCCCACCCCACTTGTTTAGCATACTTTAAAAAATACTCCCTGCCTACTTTCCTGCCGCTTCCTACCACTCCCCAAACTTTCCCAAACTACCAGACATGTTCTTCTTGTCCTCAAAGTCATCCCCTTCAGAGCCAGAAGAAATGGTCTGGATGTCGTCACTGTCAACTGCTGTGGCTGAAGTCTGACCAGCAGTGGGCTTCCGACTGGTCCCACTTTCCCCCTCACTCTCCGTGCTGCTGGACAGTGTCAGGACGTCCTGGGGAAGCAGAGGGCAAGAAGGGCAGGAGTAAGTGCAGAGGCCCCTTCACGTCTTTGCTTTTACCTGGGGTTCGGCAGAAGGGGCCAGGAGCGGTGAGAGGAAGGTGAGATGAACGAGAACGAGGCAGGAGGAAGTCAAGGCCAAAGAAGCAGGAAGAGACTTAACAGTAATCATAGCAAAGGACTCGAGGTGAGACCAGTCCAGGTCCTGGGCTTGGATTCTAAACAGGAGAGAGAGAGAAGTGAGATGCAGCTTAAGAAGGCGCTTACGTCAGGGTTGGACTGTGCAGCGGCCAGGAGTCGCCGGCTCTGATGCATACTTGTCTTGCTAGGTGGACGGCGAAGCCCTTCAGGCTTCACTGGAGAAGGGTTGTAACCGTAATTCCGAGAGCTTTCAGTAACACTAACGGGAGGAGAAGGAATGAGAGGAAGCCAGGTTACTGGCTATTTCTTGGCTTTTTTTTTTTTTTTGGTACCGGGGATTGAACTCGGGTCCTTGTGTTTGCGAGGTAGGGGGCAGCTAGGGATTTAACCACTGAGTTAAATCCCTAGCCCCTGGGACTTTTTGAGATTAGGTTTCAATATATAGTCCAGGCTGGCCTCAGACTCCCAAGTGCTAGATTACATGTGCCACCTTGCCCAGCTTCCTACTCTTTCATAGGCTTGAGAAAAGGCAGATTTGGAAATAGCTCAAAAGGGAAAGCACTGCCAGATGTGGTGGCACACGCCTATAATCCCAGAGCTCGGGAGGCTGAGGCAGGAGGATCACTGTGAGTTCGAGACCAGCCTGGGCTACATAGTGAGTTCCAGGTCAGTCTCAACGACATAGTGAGACCCTGTCTCAATAACCCCCACAAAAGGAAAAGCACTTACACTGACGTCTTGTTTCGGTCATCGGGGTCCTAGGAAAGAGCAAGTAAAGCATTAAATGCTTTCGCTGTCCACTGTAACGCATCTTAATAATCAGACTTTATTTCAAATGCCTCCAATGTATCCTTCGCCAGTAGGAGGTTCACTACCTAAAGTTGGATGGTGTCAGGAAGCACCCTGGGACTCAGTGGAACAGGCACATTCTATAAAATCCAGCCAGGGACCTTAACTCTTTCTGAGCACAGTCTTACAGGGCCCAGGACCCAGTGTGGCCACCTGTAAACATCAGAGGTAAACTTGGAGTCAGGTTTGTTCCATTTTGGAAGAGGCCCTTGCTGGGTTACCTGGGTTGGCGTCAAATCTGTGGGCTCAAGCAATCTTCTTGCTGGAACTCTTCCCCCATCCTCCCACTGGCCCCCAGTGTTGCTAGGACTACAAGTGCACACCACTGCACCCAGCTTTGAAATCTTTTTGTTGTTGCACTGGGGGAGCAAACACAGTCTCTTCATTCTGAGCTATATCCCCAGCCTTGCCCTCATCCCTGCCTTTAAATTTTGAGACAGGGTCTCCTAAGTAGCTAAGTTTCCCAGGCTGTGATCCTCCTGCCTCAGCCTCTGAGTGTTGAGATTATAGGTATGTACCACCACACCCACCTTAAAACCAATTCTTGTTTCCCTTCCTCCCCTTTTTTTTCCTGTTATTTTTTTGGGGGGGTGGGTAGATCGAACTGGGGACTTTGTGCTTGTGAGGCAGGCAGCAGAACCACTGAGCTAAATCCCGGCCCCCCGCTGTTTTTTGAGGCAGGGTCTCTCTGTGTAGTCCAGGTTGGCCTTGAACTCACAGTAGTCCTGTCTCAGCCTCCTGAGTACTGCTATTACAGGCACGGGTTACCATGCTTCGCTTTTTAAAAGCAAAAGCCAAAAGATGGGGATTTAACTTAGTTGTTCCGCTGCCTGCCTCACATATGCAAGATCCCAAGTTTGACCTCATACCAAAAAAAGTAAAAGCCAACAATGACATAGACAACTTGAAACATCATTAAACACACAAACTTATAAATCATTCACTATGGAACCAATCAGATACTCACCCTTCCCTAGCAAGTGAATCCTAAAGTAATTTGTTTCTTTAAATGCTAGCAATGTACTGGGTTGAGGTGGAAGCGAATCAAGTCGCCACAGAAAACTCTGTCGTGTAAACAATCTACATGCAAACACTCGTGGGACGACACTGAATTCGTTACTGCACCAAA